GGAAAGAGACAGACACAGTGGAACTATCAGATGGCATCATGGTTACATTGCTGGACTCCCACATAGTCAACCCCAGTTTGAGTCCTGGGCCCAGCAATTTAAAACTCACACTGGGCATGTGTGCCTCTATGCCCAAGATCCTGAGAGGAGAATGGAGGAGGAATGCAGGTCGGTTGCAGCCATGGGCCTCTGTTCCACAGGATGGGATTTGTTAAAGTTGTCCAGCATAAGGCCTACTTTAAGTAGAAATTATCAAGTGAAGTTTAGAAGATGATGAGAGGATAAAACTGATTACTATGCTCGGAAACGCTTGATGATCTAGGATCAAAATAAGTACAATATACCCAATACAGGGTGATATTTCGTGTAACTTACAGAGATATCATTTGTCAGATCACTTATGCCTGTATAGAAAGGGATATGATAGTCTGTGCAGCTCATGCACACGAACTACCAAAACACAGTGTGAAGGCTGGCCTGACAAATGATGCTGCAGCATACTGTACTGGCCTGCTGCTGGCCTGCAGGCTTCTCAATAGGTTTGGCATGGACAAGATCTAGGAAGGCCAAGTGGAAGAGACTGGAGATGAGCACAATGTAGAAAGCATCGATGGTCAACCTGGTGCCTTCACCTGCTATTTGGATGCTGGCCGTGCCAGAACTACCTCTGGCAATAAAGTTCTGGGGGCCCTGAAGGGAGTGGTGGATGGAGGCTTAAATATTCCTCACAGTACTAAATGATTCCCTGGTTATTATTCTGAAAGCAAGGAATTTAATGCAGGAGTCTATCAGAAGCACATAGTGGGCCAGAACGTTGCAGACTACACACGTTACCTAATGGAAGAAGATGAAGACGCCTACAAGAAACAGTTCTCTCAGTACGTAAAGAACAATGTAACTCCAGACATGACGGAGATGTAGAAGAAAGCTCACCCTGCTATACGAGAGAACCCAGTCTATAAAAAGAGACCCAAGAAAGAAGTTAAAAAGAAGAGGTAGAATCGTCCCAAGATGTTCCTTGCCCAGAAGAAAGATCGGGTAGCCCAGAAGAAGGCAAGCTTCCTCAGAGCTCAGGACCAGGCTGCTGAGAGCAAAACCAAACAATTTTCTAAGACTTTATTCAAAATAAAGACAATAAGCTTAACAACAAAGCAGGAAAAACAAACAGAGAAGTGAGAGGGAAAGTGAGAAATCACTTCTCAGGATGGCCATGCTACCCAATTCCTTCTCCTCCATCCTCCTCCCACTATCTTGGGCACACGTGCACAAGCGCCCAGCCTGATTTTCGAGTCACTGGGTCCAGGACTCAAACCAGGGTTGACTGTGTGGGAGTCCAGTGATGTAACTGCTATGCTATCTGCAGGCCCCAGTAAATCATGCTTAAGTGTTTAATAAAATGCTCAAAAGATGACATACTTGTGATTTTTTGTTGTTTTTACCTTGATAGATAATGTATTTGAGAGATTTGGGTTCTGTGGAATTTCATAGATCATACAGCACTCCACTTCCCTAGCTCATTCTGCTTTGCAGATAATCTGCTCACCTCCTCTCCCGAGCAATCTGTTCGGTCCCTGACAAGAACAGCCCTTTCCTTGGGAGTTAGGCATTGAATAGAATCCAGGATATTGGTAAAAGGACAAAAAAATCCACTGATATTTTAAGTGTCGTCTTCACAGTTGTAATTTTTTAATAAAAAAGGACTATTGTCATGAAATGGCTATTTTCTCTTATAAAATAATATATGTTCCTTGTAAATCAGATTAATCAAACAACACACCAAAGCATAAAGGATAAAATAAAAAATTATGTTCTAGAATACTAATAAGCCAGAAATAGTCATTTTTGTTATCATTTGGCTGTATGTGTTTCCTACACGCACACACACATTTTATTTTGTTTTTAAACAAATGTAGCATCTTTTTTGGCTGGACAATTTATAATACATCTTAGATATCTTTCCAGATCAATAAATATAGATGGATGTTCCATCATGTTCCTGCACCAAGACTGCAGAGTTTACTCCCTTTTGCTTGGCTATTGGATCTTTCAAAGAATTCACTGTTGTGAACATGGTTGTCTATATCCACTTGCTGTGAGTTCTCAGGTTGATCCACGCTCTCCTTCGCCTTCTGCTCCTCCCGATGCCAAGTCCTCCCTCCCTGGGTCACCTGTTTCTCTCCTGCAGTGGCCACCAGCTCCCGGGAGCACAGCTTGCACTCCAACTGGATCCTGCGGGCACCACGCAGACACTCTGAGGACATCGCCGGGCATGCCACGCGCACTGCAGATGGCCAGTGTCGAAGGAGCACTGAACACAGGACTGTCAGCACTCAAAGGAGACTTGAGAGGCACCCCATTTACTTACCCAAAGCTGTGGAAGGGGCATTCAACACCTTGAAATTTAAGCCCAAATCCTGTAAAAAAGAGTAAGTGCTTCGGCTGGATGTTTTCATGTCTTCTAGATTCCTGGGGTGGGTCTTTAATTGCCTTTACCTCCCCACCCTATACATAAAAAATTACTCTTGTGTATTTTGAGGGTGCAGAGAGGGATCTTGTTTTAAAATATATATATATATATATTTTTTT